ATGGCTGCGGGAGTCGCGGGGGCTGCGGCATGGCACGGGGGGACCGGGGGACCGAGACGGGCAGGGGCGCACAGGGGCACGGGGCAAAGGCACAAGGACACGGCCACCGGGACAGGCACAGGGGAGGGGACACGCAAAGACACGGGCGACAAGAGAGCACAGACACGGGGACAGGCGCAGGGGCACGGGGACAGGCGCAGGGGCACGGGGACAGGCCCAGGGATGTGCAGACAGACAAGAACGCAGCACGGACACTGGGAGAGATATGGGGATGCAGGACACAGACAAGGACACAGCACAGACAGAGGGACAGACAGACACGCAGGGGCCAGGAACACAGAGCTGGACACGCATAGACACAGGGTCCCCTCGCAGACGGGGGCCAGCGGTGTCTGACCGCAGGCTGTTGCTGCAGAGTGGATCGAGCGCCAACATGCCAAGAACAAGTTCTACTATTACCACCAGAAGTTTCGCCGTGTGCCCGACCTGAGCGAGTGTCTGGAGGGAGACTACCTCTGCTTCTTCGAGGCCGAAGCCCAGTGGAGGAGGGACAGGTATGGCTGCCACCGGGCTGCCCCCCAGGCGAGACCACAGCAGAGAGCACCGCTCTGGTTCCTCAGCCCTGGGAACCCCAGCAGTTGCCTTAAACTCACAGCATTTTCATCTAGTGTGGGGTGTTGAGGAGAGCACCTCCTGCCCACCCCATTACCGAACACCCAACTCCATAGTCCTGCTGTCCCCTGCAGCACATCCAAGCCGAGCAGGGTGGCATTAGGACACATCCTCCTGCCCTGCCCAGTTCCTGCAGCACCGCAGGATCCTGTAAAAACCCAAAGCTGACCTTCGAGACAGAGCATTGCCCCTTCATTCAGCTTTTCCATCCTCTTTCCCACAGGCTGGTTGATCAGGAAATCGTGGAGATAGTCCGGGAAAGGCTGGGTGCGTGCAAGCAGAGGGAAGGACCCAACCAGTTCCAGAACTGCGCCAAGGAGATGGAGCAGCTGGTGCAGGTCACCAAGGCCTACCAGGACAGATGTGAGTACAGCGAGAGCCTGTGCACGCCTCCGCTGCGGCAGCACACGGGGAAAGGGGGTTTTGAGCCACGTCCCAGACTTCACACAGGACAGAGACTTATGAAGCCCATTTGAGACATTTACTTTCTTTTTAGATGGTGATCTCGGTGTCCATGGAAACGCTAGGACGTGCCTGATGAAGCAGAAGCACAGGATGATGGAGGAGAGGAAGGCACAAGAAAACGCATCTCAGTAGATCGAAACGGTGAGCGCCTCGCTCCGTGGCGCGTGTATCGAGTACCCCGTGCTGCGTCCGTGATGCGCCTGACCTCTACAATAAATGTGCCGCCCAGACACCTGCCGTGCAACAAGAGTCGTTCTTTGAGGAGATCTGCAAACACGTGCAGAATTCTTCCTTTTCCAGCTCTGCATTCAGCTCTGAATCCCAGTGGATTGTTACCATCCTCTGAGCATTATCCAGCCCCTCACTCCAGGCACCCCTGGCTGCCTTCCCTGGGATTTCCCCTCCGGAGCTCTCCCCCACCGCCGTGAACCAACAGAAACGCGCTGCGCTGCTCTGCCAGCCCTGCCAGGGAACTCCCTCCGTTCGGGTACAGATTCCGTGCTGTAGGACAGCACATGACCTCCAGAGCTGGTGCTAGACCCCATTTAGGATTAACGCACAATTAACAAGGATCAGGGGAACGTATCACACCGTTTCCCCTTCAACAGGTGTTCAGGCTCTGGCCTGCAGACATGAACCTACTCCAATCCCCAGCAGAGATTTAATCCATCTGCCCAACACACCGACCATCCCGCCACACCAATCGCAATTTCTCCGTCACTGATCACTTTATTATCTTGTGCAAAACCCCCTTAAGTCGTTGCCACAGCAGCTGCCTGGGTTCTCTGCACAGAGACTCTGGTGTGGGTCTTTGCCAGATGATCAGTGAACTCCTGCAAAAGAAAACAAACAAAGCCCGTGTTTTTATTTTTCTTGAGCACCATGACAGGTTTCTCCGCGCTGCAGCCCTTTCCAACAAGCTGTGTATTACTTATTTTTACTTCTATTTCAAAGTTTTCCCATTTCTTTTGTCCACAAAGTGCCATTTTCAAGCATTACTTGGAAGCACATGCTGAAAAACCCACGCTCTGCCCAGCAGCCAGCTCTGGCTGAACTCTGCTCCCCCAATTCTCCCGGCAGAGCATCTGAGCCTTGCGGGGCAGGAAAGGCCGAGCTGCCAACGGCAGAACTGCTCTTACCTGGTAAGGAGACTTGGTGAACACAGTCTCTTTCCAGAGGTCAGGAGTCAGGTAACTGTAGGTCTTGGAGATGGCATCGAAGGTGGCTTTAGCTAGGGACAGAAATCAAACGTTGCACAGCACAGCTACAGAAACCAGATCCCCAGCACCCGCCCTCGCAGCGCCAAACCTGTGGAATTCAGGATGGGACAGGGAGCCCACAGCAGGGTCTCTCTGATACACATTCAAAACTCGAGTTTCTTTCTCTCTCCATTTACGACAATTACACTACTGCAAACAAGTGCAATCGCGCAGATTGGGAGATTTTTTTTAATACTAATGCACGAATAAAAAGACAATTTCTTGTCATTAACTGTTACAGAAGCTCGGGATCATCTACAGCAGGACTAACCTGCGTCATTAAAGGCATCAGCAGAAGCCTTTGCCTCTGCTTGACTGCTGGAAGGGTTTGATTCAACACAGAGTCAAAAATACAACCGAAATAGGTGCGTTGCACCCCCATCCGCGACCAAACACGAGACGCTAACACTCACCGAAGTTGCCGAGGGTGGCGGTGCAGCCCCTGGCCGAGGTGTAGCAGTCATCGATCCCCGCCATCATCAGCAGCTTCTTGGGGACAGGGGCCGACACGATCCCTGTCCCACGGGGGGCCGGGACACACAGACCCACACCGGCCAGTGACCTACGCACAGACACGGGGGGACAGCTCCCGAAACGTGCCGCAGCACCACCACCCCCCCCCCAGGCCAGGCCAGGCCCATCATCCTCACCTTGCAGGGCACGGTGTGGGGCTTGCCAATCTTGTTCCCCCAGTAGCCTCGTCGTACCGGTACGATGGATAACTTGGCCAAAATGATCGCCCCACGAATAGCAGTAGCGACTTCTTTCGAGCATTTAACGCCCAGACCAACGTGGCCGTTGTAGTCCCCGATAGCGACAAAAGCCTGGGATCGAAAGGAAAGTTTCCAGCGGCGGCTGCACCGCGCTCTCAGCAGAACAGGGTCCGGCAGGGCCTCGCCAAGGACAACCCCAGGGAACAGTCACAGCTCAAGAAGCCCGTTTTTCCCCTTAAAGCTCATCCTTCAGTCAAAACCAGCTACCGTTGGAGAACTGGAGTTCAAGACAGCCTCATACTGGTCAAAAGTCCCAGTAATTTCCAAACTATGTTCTCTCTTTACGCCCAAGACTTCTCTCTCCCCCACAGCCCCTGAAAAGCCCACACTGCTGCACGAGCGTGACTTCGTTTTGCATTAGGGCTGTTTCAAATAATATCTGAACGTATTACAAGGATTTAAAAATTAATACGCTAACTTTATAAGCTACACAAACACACCTCTGTACTAAAATATTTACTATATACTACAGAAAAAAATACCACTGCTTGAGCTAATTTATTAATGTAATACCAAAAAAAGCAGGAGACAACACACAGAGTTTTCAACGTGAGCAAACAGAAGAAAAGGGCTACCTTGAACCTAGTACGCTGGCCAGCACGAGTCTGCTTCTGGACCGGCATGATCTTCAGAACCTCATCTTTCAGAGAAGACCCCAGGAAGAAATCGATGATCTCCGACTCCTGCAAGAGTCAGTCATTTAATCGCACAAGGCCACGCTTTTTAAACAAACTGAGCACAGCCAGGAAGACTCTAATTCAAGTTCAACAACCCAGTACACGTGTATTTTAAGGAATAGCTACTGAAGTTAAATTTTGAAGGTGTAACCTCATTCCAGCCTGCTGGGCAGTCCGACGCAGCAAGTTAAAACTTCATTTTTTTTCCTTCATTTCCAGAACTGCTCTGCAAACGCTTGGGCAAGGCGCTGCCATCACCACACAAGGCAGCACCAACGCACACCCACCCCGCTCCGTCTCAAGCAACTGCACCGGCCCTCAGCTCCTGCCCGTTTACGCCTTTAAGTCCAACACGCTGAACCGGAGCATCCCAGAGAGCAGGAGCAGCCACCGCTGGCAGCTGCACCCCGGATGAAGGCTCTGCTCACGGCAGCTTACCTTGATGGGAAGCGAGAAGAGATAGATCTCCTCGAGAGACTTGATCTTCATATCCTTAACCAGGCGACCGAGCTTGGTAACAGGAATCCACTAACGAAGAAACCCAT